ACTTGGAAAGAGAGTCTGTCAGTCTCCTCGAACATTTCGTCAATCATATCTACAGCACGTTTACTTAGAGTATTTACTTGTGTAACTATATTGTGCAGAGACGTCTCGATGATCTGAATTAACTCCTCTTGAGTATTTGCGGGTATCTCCAATGTATTTGGATCCCCCTCATCTTTCTGTTCATTTGACCACATTTTAAATGTTTTAGTTGAGTACAAATGTTGAGGCACTTCCACTTGACCCCAATTTATTCATCCATACCTTTTCTTAGGCCCCCTCTGAGGTCTGTCTGTTTTTCAGCCTCACAGGCACCATCTGAATCTGGCAGAGGCTGCTCTGATCTGAGAGAAGTCTCTGCCTCCAGCAGTAACCCGGCAACCAGGCTCCGTGTCATAATGCCATGGCTGCGCCAGCTGTGATTGGACAGTGCCTCCCAGTCATCACCTGCCCCCCTGCCCTGCTGTCTGCTGGGACAGGTTTCTCAAAGGTGGAGAGGGACTAGCAGGAGAGGAAGTCACAAAGCGATTAGTGAACTCTCATTTATTGTTTCTCAAGGGTGACCCTGGATTTGAGACCCAATTTGCTATGTGACCTCTAGCTTACTTTTCTGAACTCAAGTAATACCTGTCCTTATTTGATTCCAAATTATCTTCCAGCTGAAATGTCTCTTCTAAGCTCCACTTGGATACCACACGGCTTTCTCAAACGGTTACTGAAAATTTTTTGACATACATAAAGCTATACATAATTAATGTGTACAACTTTATAAATTTGGAGATAAGTATACACCCATAAAACCATCACCTCAGTCTATGCCATGAACCTATCCATCACCTTCAAAATTTCTTCTTGCTCTATTATTATTATTATTACTATTTACTATCATTATCATCGTCGTCATTTTGTGATAAAAACACAACATAAGATCTAAGTTCTTAGTAAATATTTTCTTTATTTTCTTGTTTAGCTATTACAGTTCCCCCTGCATTTTCCCCTCTCTTCCCATCTCTACCCAGCTTCAGCCCCCCTCTCCTCTGGCCATCACCTCACTGTTGTCTGTGTCTATGCGTCATGCATACCCGTTCTTTAGTTAATCCCCTCTCCTTTCATTTAGTCCCCCCACTGCCCACCCTCTGACAGCTGTCAGTCTGTTCCATGTATCCATGTCTCTGTGTCTATTTTGTTCATCATTTTATTTTGTTCATTGGATTCCACATATAAGTGAGATCATGTAGCACTTGTCTTTCTCTGACTGGCTTATTTCAATTAGTGTAATGCTCACCAGGCCCATCCATGCTATTGGTAAGAGTAAGATTCCCTTTTTAAAAAAATATTTCATGTATTTATTTTTAGAGAGAGAGGAAGGGAGGGAGAAAGGGAGAGAAACATCAATGCGTGGTTGCCTCTCACATGCCCCCTACTGGGGACTTGGCCTGCAACCCAGGCATGTGCCCTGACCGGGAATTGAACTTTTGACCCTTTGGTATGCAGCCCGTGCTCAATCCACTGAGCTACACCAGCCAGGGCAGATTTCCTTTTTTCTAAAATTATTGTTGAATTACAGTTGTCCCAATTTTCCCCCATTGCTCTTGCTTGCCCCGCCCAACCCCCCACTCCCACAGTCAATCTCCACACCACTGTCTATGTCCACGGGTTCTTTATACATGTTCCTTGACTTTACCCTTTCCCTTCTTTCTCCTGTTATCCGCCTCCCCCGTCCCCTCTGGTCCCTGTCAGTCTGTACCTTGTGTCCATGCCTCTGGTTCTATTCTGTTCATTTGTTTGTTCTGTTGATTAGGTTCCAATTATAGGTGAGATCATACATAATGGTATTTGTCTTTCACCGCCTGGCTTATTTCACTGAGCATAATGCTCTCCAGTTCCATCCATGCTGTCGAGAAGGGTAGGAGCTCCTTTCTTTCTACGGTGTAGAATTCCATCATGTAAAGGTAGCACAGTTTTTTGATCCGGTCATTCACGGATGGGCACTTAGGCTATTTCTAGCACTTGGCTGTTGTAAATAACACTGCTGTGAACATTTGGGTGCATAGGTACTTCTGAATTGGTGTTTCGGGGGTTTTTGGGTATAATCCCAGCAGTGGGACCACTGGGTTCCATCTTCAGTTTTCTGAGGAGATTCCGTACTGTTTTGCACAGTGGCTGCACCAGACTGCATTCCCACCAACAGTGCACTAGGGTTCCCTTTTCCCCACAACCTCGCCAGCACTTGTTTGTTGATTTATTGGTGGTCATTCTGACTGGTGTGAAGTGGTATCTCATTGTGGTTTTCATTTGCATCTCTCTGATGGCCAGCGATGCTGAGCATCCTTTCATATGTCACTGGGCCTGACCATAGAGACTTGGGTTTACTTCTGGGCTCTCTGGGCCCAGAGAGTCTGGGCTGTTTTGTTCCATTGATCTATGTGTCTGTTCTTATTGCCAGTACCAGACTGTTTTGATTACACTGGCCTTGTAATACAGTTTTATAACAGGTGCTGTGATCCCTCCTACTTTGTTCTTCTTTCTCAAAATTGCTGTGGCTGTTTGGGGTCTTTTCTGGTTCCACATAAACTTTTGAAATGTTTGCTCTACATATGTAAAATATGTTATTGGTATTTTAATAGGGATTGTGTTGAATTTATAAATTGCTTTGGGTAGTAAGGACATTTTGATGAGGTTAATTCTTACAATCCATGAACATGGTACATGCTTCCATTTATGTCTTCTGTAATTTCTTTTTTCAGTGTTGTGTGGTTTTCTGAGTACAGGTCTTTTACCTCCTTGGTTAAGTTTTCCTAGGCACCTTATTTTTTGGACTATAAGACACACACACCCCCAATTTGGGAGGAATAATGGTTGTGAATGCTGCTGTTGAGTTCTGTTTACATTTACATTGGTGAAATATTATATTATTTATGTTGTTAAATATTTTACCACTTTTCTTGGTTCAAATTTTTTCCCTATTTTCCTCCTCTAAAACCTAGGTGTGTCTTATGGTCCGCAAAATACGAGTACTTTATTTTTCTTGTTGCTATAGCAAATGGGATTTCTTCCGATTTCTGTTTCTGATATTTCTTTTTTTTTTAAGATTTTGTTTATTTTTATTTTTAGAGAGGAAAGGGAGGGAGAAAGAGAGAGAGAAATATCAATGTGCGGTTGCTGGGGGCTGTGGCCTGCAACCCAGGCATGTGCCTTGACTGGGAATCGAACCTGCAACACTCTGGTTCGCAACCCATGCTCAATCCACTGAGCTGTGCCAGCCAGGGCTGTTTCTGATATTTCATTGTTAGTGTACAGAAATGCCTTCAGTTTCTGAATATTGACTTTGTATCCTGCTGTTTTGCCAAATTCACTTATTTGGCTTAGTTTTTTGGTGGAGTCTATAGGGTTTTCTATGTGCACTATCATGTCATTTGCAAATAATGACAGTTTTACTTCTTTCCAATTTGGATGCATTTTATTTCTTTTTCTTTTCTGATCACTGTGGCTAGGACTTCCAATACTACATTGAATAGAAGTGATGAAAGCAGGCATCCTTGTCTAGTTCCTGATCTTAGTGAGAAAGCTTTTAGTTTTTGCCCATTGAGTATAATGTTGGCTGTAGGTTCTTGTATATGGCCTTTATTATTTTGAGTTATGCTTCCTTTATTCCCACTTTGCTGAGGGTTTTTCTCATCCATTGGTGCTGTTTTTTCCCATGCTTTTTCCACATCTGTTGATATGATCCTGTGATTTTGTCTTTCCTTTTGTTTGTGTGATGTATTACGTTTATTGATTTGCGAATATTGTACCATCCTTGAATCCCTGGGATGAATCCCACCTGATCACGGTGTATGATCTTTTCAATGCATTGCTGGATGTGGTTTGCCAATATTTTGTTGAGGATTTTAGTGTCTATGTTCATTAGCAATATTGGCCTGTAGTTTTGTTGTGTGGTTTTGGGATTAGGATGATGCTGGCTTCATAAAAAGAGTTTGGGAGTCCTCACTCTTGTTGGATTTTTTGGAATAGTTTGAGGAGGATAGGGGTTAGCTGTTCCCTAAATGTTTTGTTAAATTCTCCTGTGAAGCCACCCAGTCCAGGGCTTTTGTGTGTCGGGAGTTTTTTGATGACTGCTTCCATTTCACTAGCTGCTATGGTCTGTTCAGGCTTTCTGCTTCTTCTTCATTCAGTTCTAGAAGGTTATGTATTTCTAGAAATGTGTCCATTTCACCCAGGTTTTTAAATTTCTTGGCATACAGTTGTTCATAGTAATTTCCTACATCCTTTGTATTTCTGTGGTGTCAGTTATAATTTCTACTCTTTCATTTCTGATTTTATTTATTTCATTTCTATTTTTTTCTTGATGAGCCTGGTTAAAGGCTTGTTGATTTTATCTTTTTTTTTAAAGGGAAGCATTTTTTAAAAGATTTTATTTATTTATGTTTGAAGAGGGAAGGGAGAGGGAGAGAGAGAAACATCAATGTGCGGTTGCTGGGGGTTATGGCCTGCAACCCAGGAATGTACCCTGGCTGGGAATTGAACCTGTGACACTGATTTTGTTTATCTTTTCAAAGAACCAGCTCCTGGATTTATCGATCCTTTGAATTGTTCTTTTAGTCTCTATGTCACTTAATTCTGCTCTGATCTTGATTATTTTCTTTTTTCTACTTGCTCTGAGCTTTGTTGTGATTTCTTCTTTTTTTTTTCCAAAAGATTCAAATTATTCTTAGAGACAGGGGAAGGAAAGGAGGAATAGCAGGAGAGAGACATCAATGTGAAAGACTAACACTGATCGGTTGCCTCTCATGCATGCCCCGACCAGGTATTGAACTCATAACCCAAGCATGTGCCCTGACCAGGATTGAACTGGTGGCCCTTCACCCTGCAGGATGACGCCCAACCAACTGAGCCACACTGGTCAGGGCTGAATTGTTCTTAATGACAATACCATGGCTTAGGATTTCTCCACACATTTATACTCTCAGTGAAATCATTGTTTTCTCATGGATTTCTTGTAGAGCTTAGGTTTCGAAGCGTCTTTGGTCAAGAAGGATCGGTCAGCAAGCCACCTAGACCATAAGCGAGAGATAAGACAGTAAGTACTTTTGGAGTGCCCGTGAAAAATACATTTTGACTCCTTTTTAGAAACTTAACATCCTGTGATTGTGTGAGTTTTTACAATAGCATCCTTAAACTTGGGTGAGTGGTTCTAACTTGTGTTTACCTGTAGTACATAGACTCATTAACCATTAGCTACTTACTAAAATGATTTTTTTTTCTACATAAGATGGAGACGGTCCTTCCTTGTGAGCCTGTTTTTCTGTATTCCTGTTATGGGGCTGATGATATATATGATGGTTGTGGACCACCAGCTTGCAAGTCTGCACCATAATAAGACCATGAGCCAAGAAGAAGTGGTCAAAAGTCATTCTTCTATGCCCCTGGAGCACCAGATCCTGCCAGGATTGTCCATTATGAATTTGCTATCCTTTATATTGTGTGTACCTGTGCAGGCAAGTGAACTGTTAATAAGTCTATGTGTTAATAATGAAAAATAGCTGAGACGTGGCAGGCAAGGCTATTTTCAGTTGGAAAGCAGATGTTAGCCAGAAGCTGGTCATTTTATGCTGAATGTTTTACAAAAATAATCTTAAACTGAGTGGTTAGTTAAAGTAGATAATAAATTCCACTTAAGCCCTAAAGATAGTATTTAATGACAAAGCAGACAATAAGAGTTTAATTTGTATTCAGATATGATTTTGGTGTTTATCTTTGCTATTATATATAATTTTATATGTAAAATTATAATCAAATACATTTATTTATGTATTTAATATTTTAAGTGAATTCTGTTTCTATTAATGATATTGAATATATTTTAATATCTTTATTAATTTACTGTATAAAATAAGATAATTATGGTAATTATTTTACTATTAGTTGTATTGCTTTCCCCTGGGACTTAAACTTACTGCTTTTTGTATATTTTCAAAGCTTCTTTTGAGATAAACTCTTATTATAGAACACTTCCATCTGACAAATATATCCCTTTTTCTGATTCTTGTAAAATGCAATATTGATTTCTTAAAAATATTAGCATGTTTCTTTATAAGAAAAACAAGCTTTTTGCTCATGTTTACTAATGAAACCAGCCAACAGATGTAATAGCTTGTCATATAGCACTTAGGTTGAATTTCAGAAAGGGGGAGATGATTTTTATATTTAAAAACTCCTTGTCAAAAGAATGACATTCTTTTCCTAGTTCTTGTTTTGGCTAGAGTGAAAGAGAAAATTCTGAGAACCTTCTGAGTTTCTATTATGGAATATCCATTGGACCGCAGAGGACAGCTGCCAGAAGCTGGTGCACCAATTGGAATCCTTGCTGCTAAATCCTTGCACACACATAGCTGCTAAAATGCAGACTTCAAATTTCTCTTTAGTGTTAGTGGATTAAGTAGGAGCCAAAGGAATTTAACATGGATGCTGTACCTTAGTTATGGAGGTATATATTTGAATTTCAGGTTTTTTTTAAAGCAATGATTATTATTTCTCTATTACAGTTTTTCGGAGGCTGGTACTTCTACATTCAGGCCTACAAAGCGCTGAAGCATAAAACTGCAAATATGGACGTGCTGATTGTGCTGGCCACCACCATTGCATTTGCCTACTCTTTGATTATCCTTCTTGTCGCAATGTTTGAGAGAGCCGAAGTGAACCCTATTACCTTCTTTGACACCCCTCCTATGCTATTTGTGTTTATTGCGCTAGGCCGGTGGCTGGAGCATATAGCAAAGGTAAAGTCAGAAAACATGCCATTTGTTAAAATTTTGGGTGGATAAATGACCATAATAGTTTCTAGACCAATTAATAGAATATATATATATTGATTTATGTATCTAATCATTTACTGAAGTATTTGTTTTTGTTTGGCAGTATTTTAAGTATCCCTTTTTAGAAGGTTTACCAAGTTTGTGGCATTAATATTGTAGATAGTGGAATACATCCATGTTTACTTTAAGAGAGAGGCATTTGAGAACTACTTTTTAAATTTATTTCTATCATATGATTAATGGAAAAAATTGATGTGACTGCAGGGTTTAAAATAATGATGGAAAAATTTTACCCATAATCTAATGCTCTAATGGAAATCACTTTCTTATCCTATTCCACATACGTTTATATTTTCCAGACTGGCAAACATAGTATCCCATGACACTTTGTACCCTTAACACTATAAAGATTCCCCCCCCCCCATTTTTTCAGTCTAGATAATTATTTGGCATTTCTGAGTAATATTCTGTCAAATCAGTGTGCTGTCATTTACTAAATCATTTTGGTTTTCTTCTCAATTAGATTGTTTCCAATTTTTAATTTGAGATAACTCTGCAATGTCATTTTCCTTGAATTAGTGTCTTAGGATAAATTACAAAGCATATGGTTGAAAGACAAAACTCTTTCTGTGGTTTATGCTACAAGTTGAAACAATTTTTGCCAGCAAGGTATGTTAGTGAAATAGTTTGACTACCACTTCATCAGTTTGGATTCCTGTCTAAATTCTGGCTAAGTCAGTAGGCATGAAATGGTGTCATAGAGTTGCTTTAGTTTGCATTTATTCCATTAATAACAGGGATAAACATTTTCTTGTACATCAGGGATTTTATTTCTTCTGACGGGAATTACCTATTCATGTCCTTTGCCTGTGTACCTATTGGGTTCCTGATGTTTTCCTTACTAATTTACATTATTTATTTATAAATTAGAGCTAATTATACATTTTCTGTTTTGCTTACTTCATCTTTTTAAGTGAAATATTAAAGACTGTATATTTATTTTAGGTAAGACCTGGGCTTTTTCTTCCTTAGCATTGTTGACTTTTTTTTTTTTAATTTATAGGGCAAGACATCAGAGGCTCTTGCCAAGCTAATTTCACTGCAAGCTACAGAAGCAACTATTGTAACTCTTGACTCTGATAATATCCTCTTGAGGTATTTATCTTCATTCTTTCTACTTTTCTTTTTTAACTCCTTATGAAAACATCAAATATACACACAGAGAACAGTGTAATGCATACACATAATCCACCTCCCAGATTTAACAGTTATTCACATTTGCCACACATTACTTCATCTGTACATTCTATTTTTGTTTCTGTTGTTGCAATAGTATTGGAGTAAATTCCAGTCATATCATTTGACTGCTTAATATTCCTGTAGTATCTCTAAAAAAAGAATATATCCTTTTTTTTAAAGATTTTATTTTTATTTTATTTTTAGAGAGGGAAGGGAGGGAGAAAGAGAGAGAGAAACATCAATGTGCGGTTGCTGGGGGTCATGGTCTGCAACCCAGGCATGTACCCTGACTGGGAATCGAACCTGCGGCACTTTGGTTCGCAGCCCGCGCTCAATCCACTGAGCTACGCCAGCCAGGGCCAGGAACATATCCCTTTTAAAAAGATTTTATTTATTTCTTAGAGAGGGGAAGGGAGGGAGAAAGAGAGGGAGAGAAACACCAATGTGTGGTTGCCTCTCACGCACCCTCCACTAGGGACTGGCCCTCAACCCAGACATGTGCCTTTGACTGGGACAACCCTTTGGTTTGCAGACCGGCACTCAATTCACTGAGCCACACCAGCCAGGGCAGAACATTTCCTTATATAACTGTAACACCATATTGCATCTAATAAGGTGAACAAAAGCTCCTTAATGTCGTCTCATATGCGGTTCGTGTTCACATCTCTCCTGTTGTGTCCAAAATGGTTTAAGTTTCATTGTTTGCACTGGAATTGAGTCAAGGCTATAATCGTTATACTTTCTTTTACTCTAGAAGAGCTCATTCTTCTCTTTTTCTCTTCTTCTTTCCTCCTCTGTTCTCCCTCTCCAAACATTCGACTTGTTAAAGAAACATCCATCAGTTGTCCGTAAATATGCCACAGTCCAGGTGTGTCTCTTCGCTCGCTTCTGTTGTCACTTACCTTGTTTTATAACTCCTGTGTTCCCTGTTAACCGGAAGTGAGAACTACAGTGTTGATTAGATTTCATTCTTTTGTACGTCTCATTTGTACACTAAAGAAATTATGTAGGCAGATTTATACAATAAATAAACTATTCAGTTAAATAAAACCCAGGACATTATTTTCAAAAGTTTTCATTTATTCATTCAGAGACCATGTAAGAAATAGTTAGAGTTCTGACTTTGTGCCAGGCACTGAGCTGTTTCCCACCAGAGAACAGGACTGGCGTTGGGGTTCCCCGCTGAGATGTTGGTTCAAGCTTCCATTGCTGACAACGATGTAGCCGCAAGCTTGCTAGGAACTAAAAAGCTTGCACGGGAAAATCAGTGTGAAAAGCGTATTGTCATAATGCTTTTCATTTTCACTCATTTCCAGTGAAGAACAAGTGGATGTGGAACTTGTACAACGTGGAGACATCATTAAAGTGGTCCCAGGAGGCAAATTTCCAGTGGATGGCCGTGTCATCGAAGGACATTCTATGGTAGATGAGTCCCTTATCACAGGTATGTTCTTTCAGCGGGTCATGAAAGTGAAGTGAATCCAAAGTGTTCATGAAGAGTAGGCATGCAAGGTGAAGAGCTTTTTCTAGAAACTGGAATGAGTAAATAATGTGCAAAGACAGTATGATTTCTTTTCAAAACTGTAGCAAATCAATTTCTGCAGATTTGCTTTGTGGATTTAGCTATGCTAGTGTCGGCTCTTTTTGCTGAGAACTGTTCATTATAGGAATGGACAACCAAAGGAAATTGTGTAATTCTGCGGTAGAACCCAATAGACTGTGGCAAATGTACCTGACCCATTACCTGTTTTGTCTTCCTGCCCTAAACATTGTTCTAGTCTGAGCTGGGGTGGAACTCCAGGTTTTCCGCGTCAGTGTCTGCTCTCGGAGAGTAGGCCTGTACTAGTTTAGACATCTTAGATAACTAAGGCCAATCTGGAGCAGAACCAAAAGAACACCTTTCCTACCTCAACCCTGAGGATAGTGTTGAAAGAGGCTTAGATTATAGATCAAGGAGGAAATAATTTAGGTCTCTCCGTTTCTCAGTAGGGGTGATACTGTGACTTTGGATGGGACAATTCTGAGTTCTGGAGGACTCTCTTGCACATTGTAGTACATTTAGTATCCTTGACCCTGGCCCACTCAATTGCAGTAGCAGCCGCATTAGTAGTTATTACAGATGAGAACTTCCTCCTACATTTCTAAATGTTCCTTGGGAATGGGCTGAGAACAAGTAACCTGAGGCTTGCATGGAGCTCCAAAAGGCTCTAACAAGAGCTAGCATAAGCCCTGGCTGGTGTAGCTCAGTGGATTGACTGCAGGCTGCAAATCAAAGTGTTGCAGGTTCGATTCCCAGTCATGGTGCATGCCTAGGTTGCAGGCCATGACCCCCAGCAACCGCACATTGGTGTTTCTCTCTCTCTCTCTCTCTCTCTCCCTCCCTCCCTCCCTCCCTCCCTCTCTCTCTCTCTCTCTCTCTCTCTCTCTCTCTCTCTCTCTCTCTCTCTCTCTCCCTCCCTTCCCTCTCTAAAAATAAATAAATACAATCTTTAAAAAACAAACAAACAAAAAGAGCTAGCATATTAGGTTTTTTCAGTGTTAGATATGTCTGCCTGCATTTGGCCCAGAACTAACATAAAGAAATAGGGAGGGCAACTTTCACCTGGGCATTTGTCCAGATTCTATTTCATAAATTAAGAATCTCCTGTCTAGCCCTGGCTGGTGTGGCTCAGTGGATTGAGCTCTGGCCTGTGAACCAAAGGGTCACTGGTTCAATTCCCAGTCAGGGCACATGCCTGAGTCGTGGGCCAGGTCCCCAGTAGGGGGCACCTGAGAGGCAACCACACATTGGTGTTTCTCTCTCTTTCTCCCTCCCGTCCCCTCTTTCTAAAAATAAATAAATAAAATCTTTTTTTTTTTTTAAAGAATCTCCTTTCTAGATATTTTTTGACAATTAACAAATGATGGTATGTGTCATGATACAGCTTATTTATGTTCCCCGAATCTATCTTTACTCCTCATCCAGGGGAGGCAATGCCTGTGGCCAAGAAATCTGGCAGCACAGTGATTGCTGGTTCCATCAACCAGAATGGGTCCCTGTTCATCCGCGCAACCCACGTTGGAGCGGACACAACCCTTTCTCAAATTGTCAAACTTGTGGAGGAGGCACAAACCTCAAAGGTAACTTACCTCTTTGGGAGAAATAAAGTCTCTTCTTTAAAGCCCACTCAGTGTAAATGTTTATTTAGTTTTCGTATTTTCCTTTGATTCATTCTATTTGCATTAATATGGAGTTTATCAAAATAGTTCCGTTTGTGCTCTACTCATTATAAAAGGAGACTTTGACTTACGTATTGTTCTTTTTGTTGTTGTTATTGTTATTGTTATTGTTATTATGTTATTTAATTCTAGGCTCCCATCCAGCAGTTTGCAGACAAACTCAGTGGCTACTTTGTTCCTTTTATTGTTATTATTTCCATTGTTACCCTCTTGGTTTGGATTATAATTGGATTTCTACATTTTCAAGTTGTCGAAACCTACTTTCCTGTAAGTGACACGTGACAATTCTTTACCATATGTAAAACAGTTCGTGAATTTTTTGCATAAGTCATTAATTGGACAATAACCTTAATAGTCATTACTATGTTTAAGGGAGTGGAGTGGGAGAGTGATAAGAATAGGCTCTTTTTCTTTGAACTTCTGTATATAAAAGATTTCCTTTTCAAGGATTTTTTCATTATGACTCGTGACTTCCCCAAAGCAAGTGCTGAACTTTTACATTTCATACCTAGTCTCATTTCCAGCATGATACTGCTTTCATGAAGGACTGTAGACATACTGAGGCAAATCTCACAATGTGAGCTCCACCACACACGGTCTGCGTGCTCTTGGGTCAACTTAATTTCTCTCTGCATTTCATTTTCCCCGTGTATACAATGAGATTTTAATAATCCCATCCTGTATAACTTCTAGTTGTTGTGAAAGTTAAATCAGATGATATATTAAAAACACTTAGGAATTTATTAAATGCTTTATAAATAAAAGGTGATATTAGTGCCTACTTCTCTCTAGTCCTTTGATACTCTGAAGTATGGTGTCATGAGGTGGATAACTAGACCTGGACTGTGCTTCACTTTAGAAAGATAATCCTTTAAAACTAATTATTTATTTATTTTTAGAGCGGGGGAAGGGAAGGAGAAAGAGAGAGAGAAACATCAATGTGTGGTTGCCTCTCGGACGCCCCCTACTGGGCACTTGGCCCATAACCCAGACACGCACCCTAGTCTGTGAATTGAACCAGCTAGCTACCTTTTGGTTCACAGGCTGGGGCTCAATCCATAGACCTACATCAGCCAAGGCTAGAGATATAATTTTTAAGTCAACTTCTCAGCCTCAGTTTTGTCGTGTGTGATATAGTGACAATAACACCTAACTTGCAGCATTGGAATTAGTGTAGGTGAAAACACGCACATTTGACATACACGAAAGTATCAGTTTAGATGTTTATGAAAGTCCCTGTAGCTCTGTTACTGTACAGAAATAGCATGCTGTATATCACTTAGTTTATTTAAGAACCCAGTAAGAAGCTAGCACTGTAAAACAGTTACTACTAAGAAAGTCTTACTATTGTTTCTTTATTTTAAAACATCCTGTTCTACACACTACTTTTATGCTGTTTGTCCCTTCAATTAAAGAACAAGTAGAATCACAACAACTGTGTGTCTGTTTGGTGACGTGGTTATTACTGCAATATTTAAGTTTCTTTAATGATTCATGTCAATTAAGCATGCATTGGGCAAGAGGGTTGCTGGGAGGTATTTTGGAATTTGTATCATGAGTTCAGGGGATCTTAGGAGAGTTTCCCTAATACAGTTGATCATATTTACCCACACAAGCAAGTATTCCATGCCATTAAGAGCTACACTACCTTGCCCTGGCTGGTGTAGCTCAGTGGATTAAGCGTGGGCTGCAAACCAAAGTATCGCAGGTTCGATTCCTAACCAGGGCACATGCCTAGGTTGCAGGCCATGGCCCCCAGCAACCGCACATTGATGTTTCTCTCTCTCTTTCTCCCTCCCTTCCCTCTCTAAAAATAATAAATAAATAAATCTTTTTAAAAAAAGAGCGCTACACTACCTGATATACTCAATTCACATTATTACATCCCAGATACTTTTATTGAGATGTTATTAAACTCCCTTCGCATGCTGGATGATTTTTCCCCATTGTCTTCAGGAATAGTGTGAAAGGCAGATTTATGGTGTCAGTATATAGAGGTTCAGAATTCCTTTTGTTTAGGATCAAATTGGTTGAGAATTAGGTTCCATGGTTGCACATATTTTTTAAAGAATCTACTTAATTTTAGACAGAGGGAAGGGAGAGAAAGAGAGGAAGAGAAACATCCATGTGCCAGAGATACACTGATTAGTTGTCTCTTGCATGCCCCCAACTGGGCACCTGGCACACAACCCAGGCATGTGTCCTGACTGGGAATCGAACCAGCAACCTTTGGGTTCGCAGGCCAACACTCAGTCCACTGAGCCACACCATCCAGGGCTGCAGCTATTTTTGAAAGTCCCTAATAAAAACGTTTCCTCTCAATATGGGGCAAAAAAAGGCTGACTTTTATGTTCCTTATATTTATTCCATAGTTTGTAACTGTGAATCAGTAAAATTGAAATCTTGATTTGGGGACCATGACTCAGTTTACCAGTTATGTCACAATATCTTCATAAAATTTAAAGAGTTTTCTTACTAGTAAGTAAAACACATACTTTAGTAGCTAAGTAGGATCGTGCATGACTTCAAAATTGAGGTTTTATTGAAATAGTGAACTTTTTTCCTTTTGCTTTGTTCACCTCTAAATCAGTAACCAAAATTCATGCATTTCTTCTAAAGGGCTACAACAGAAGTATCTCCCAAACCGAAACGATAATACGCTTTGCTTTCCAAGCCTCTATCACAGTTCTGTGCATTGCATGCCCCTGCTCACTGGGTCTGGCGACCCCAACTGCTGTGATGGTGGGTACGGGAGTAGGCGCTCAAAACGGCATACTAATCAAAGGTGGTGAGCCATTGGAGATGGCCCATAAGGTAAGATATCCCAGACTTAAGAATTGTCCCATCGTAACTGGCAGTAGCGTGCCTACTGAGGAACACAGAGTCCTGCATTATTTCCACCCGGCCCATAATCTGAGCCTCTTTCTGGCACTACCCTGAGGGTTGGGGTAGGAGAGGTGTTCTTTTGGTTCTGCTCCAGGTCAGTGTTGGTTATCCAAGATCTCTAAAACTTCCAGAGACCTCGTCTCTTCAAGCAGATGCCAGTGTGAAAACCGGAAGTCTCACCCCAGCTCAGACTAGAAAAGTCTTTAGGGCAGGAAGACAGAGGGGGTGTTCGCCATCATCTCTCAGGCTTCTAACCTGTCTGTGTGTGACTCTGTCCCTCACCGTGACACACTGCTTGTGATTCCATCGCAGTGTCTGTGCCTTTCTGCCAGCAGATGACAGTTTGCAACCGCCACTGCAGGAATATAATCCTATCCCTGGCCTCTCTCGTATTAGGATGTTCATAACAACCTCCATCAAGGCTGCTTGACTTCAACTAAAACCACATTTGAAACTCAAAGAAAAATTGCAAGAATAGTGTAAAGAACTTCTGTATCCCCTTCACTACAGATATCAGCCTCCTTTCCTGAGAAAAGGGACATTTTCTTACAAAACCACAGTACAAACATCAACACCAAGAAATTAACGCTGATATTGTACTATTATCTAACCTACAGTCCATATTCCAGTTTCCTCAATTGTCTCCGTAGTATCCTTTATAGCTTTTTTCCCCTCTTGTCTGGAATCATGCTTTGTATTCAGTTGTATCTTTTCATCTGTTTCTCAAGCTACTCATTTTTCAAGGTTCGCATTTCTCTGTCGACTCTGAGGTGACTGTTCTCTAATTCCAGACTCGTCCTTTTTCCCCCATCTGGGCTGCCTTTCCTCCTTTGATTCCTGAGCTGTCTCAGGCCAAGCTGCTCACCTACACGCAGTAAACTCAGAGCCTCCCAGCGGGTCTTATCTGCCGCTCACTGCAACTTAATTATTTACGTTCCTCTTGTAATTGTGTTCCCCATGCCCATATTTCCCCTCTAGACCTGTGGTTCATGACTATTTAAAGCCTGTGTCTTTCCCTGGAGGCACTACAGGCAACTCGTAATTAACTATTAACCGTCAACCTTTAACAATGAGTTCTAGTTCTTTAACATGTGTCTACACTAGGGGGCGTTACGTGTAACAGAGTATTTCTTCCCTTATTCACTCCCTCCCTTTTATTCTCCCGGAGGCAGTTTATGAAGTCAAAGTTTATTAAGAAGGTAACCTTCTTCTCATTTCTGGAAAGGTGATATTAAGGATTATCAAGTCACATAGGTGCATTGTATTTTGCCTTTGTTACAGGTGAAGGTAGTGGTGTTCGATAAGACTGGAACCATTACCCATGGAACCCCAGTAGTGAGTCAAGTCAAGGTTCTAGTGGAGAGTAACAGAATACCACGCACTAAGATCCTGGCCATCGTGGGAACCGCTGAGAGTCACAGTGAGCACCCTCTGGGAGCGGCTGTGACCAAATACTGCAAGCAGGTACGGTTTCCCCTCGTATATTAATGTAGTCCTCTGCTAGTAGGATTATTCAGGCCACATCCAGCCTGGCATTTGACTATGATTTACATATATACTAGTTGCTATGAGGGTTAGAGAGACTTGTATTTTGTTATTTTGCTTTATAATGTGCCTTAGATTCTTTATACAGAAAGATATAAAGATGAAAACAAATTAATTATAATCCTACACAGAAAACCCAGTTGACTAAAAAATTAAAATAGAAGTAATACATACGTATGATAGGAAACTTCAGGTGATTCAGAGAGTTACGTAAACAAAAGGGAGAGCTTCATTCCCGCTCACTTCCATAATTCCTCTCTCCAAAGTTTACCAAGATTTAAGCTGTTGATATTTTTAAATAACAGCTTTATTGAGATACAATTCATGTACTACAAAGTTCCCCCCTCTGAAGTATACAATTCAGGATTTTTAATATATTCATTAGTGTATGTCTGTTAACCCCTCTTTTTTTAAGATTTTATTTATTTATTTTTAGAGAAGGGAAGGGAGGAAGAAAGAGAGGGAGGGAAGCATCAGTGTGTGGTTGCCTGTCTTGCACCCCCTACTGGGGACCTGGCCCACAATCCAGGCATGTGCCCTGACTGGAAATCAAACCGGCAACGCTTTAGTTTGCAGGCTGACACTCAATCCACTGAGCCACACCAGCCAGGACTATTAACCACTCTTAATCCATATAACAAAATATATGCATTTATTGTTTTTTTTAACTTCACATACGAAGGTCACACAATGATTAATCTTCGTTACTTTGTAATTTTATTAAATGATTTTTCTATAGCAGGACATACAGATCTGCCTCAGTGCCTCTAATGGCTATATTATATTCTATTGTATGATGGTTTTTGGCTCTGACAATGTAGTTAACATCCTTATCAGCTTTTCAAGTTTATCTCTCTGTTAAATGCCTATTCATGCCATTGCTACTTCAAAGGATAAAGAGTACATGCAGTTAAATTTTGATGAATATTACCAGTGCCCATGTGACAGGTATTACCAGCACCCACACGGAAGGTCGTACCGGTGTGTACTCCCCCCAGAAGTTATGACTGCCCGTTTCCTGACGTTCCTGCCAACACTTTATTTTTTTCCAATGTAATAAGTACAAAATGTTAACTCATTGATGGTTTTGCTCTTCATTTCCTTAATTATAAGGTTGAGCATTTTATCATATGTGTATATTAGCCATTTGAATTTCTTTTTCTGTAACCTGTCTGCTCAAATCCTTTGCCCGTTTTTCCAAACAATTGTTTGCCTCTTTCTCATTGCTTTGTACAAGGTCTTTGCAAGTTATCCACATACTTTTATAGTTAAAATGTGGCGATTTCTACCATTCTTTATTTGTGTTTTTTTTTTTCCTTTTTGCCTATTAACTATTACTGACTGGGCTTCTTTTTTTTTTTTAATTCACTTTTCTTGCTTCCTATTTTTTTTTTTAGATTTTATTTATTTATTTTTAGAGAGGGAAGGGAGGGAGAAAGAGAGAGAGAGAAACATCAATGTGCAGTTGCTGGGGGTCATGGCCTGCAACCCAAGCATGTACCCTGACTGGGAATGGAACCTGAGATGCTTTGGTTTGCAGCCCGTGCTCAATTTACTGAGCTACGCCAGCCAGGGCTGACTGGGCTTCTTTACACCCACATGAAACAATCGACAGGATGAAGATGTAAAGAGCCAGAACTCCCTGGCGTACCGAGGGCACAGAATTGTTCTAGAGGGGCACTCTAGCGATACTGGCCTGTTCTTTATTACCCTTTGCCCTCTACTGAACCGAAAATCTGACATGACAACAGAATTAAATCTTTCCCTCGTAATTCTCTACTGGAAAGGGCTGAAAATATTGCTCAACCTTCCGTGTGTTCTTTCCCTGAGCTTGGTGTACATTTTAGAGAGCGGGATTAAAACAAAGGCTTCCGAGGTTCGCCTGTAACTTTGAACGTTATATTCAACACTCCGTTCCTTCGTGCTCATTAAAATGTGCTATCAAATAATGCAGTGTGCTAAGTGGTCGTTTTATTCTAAAACGTGTAGCTAACCAGCAGGAATCTTTGATCTTGCTAATGATGACCTTGGATTATTAGAGCAGCAGAGAAATTCTTCTGTTTCTATTTGTTAGGAGCTGGCCACTGAAACCTTGGGTACCTGCATAGACTTCCAGGTTGTGCCAGGCTGTGGTATTAGCTGTAAAGTCACCAATATCGAAGGCTTGCTACAAAAGAATAACTGGAAGATAGAGGAAAATAATGTGAAAAATGCATCCCTGGTTCAGATCGATGCAAGTGATGAACAGTTATCAGCTTCGTCTTCCATGATCATTGATGCCCACCTCTCAAGTAAGCTGATTTTTTTTTTGCAGTGCCAATTATGAGACAGTTATTACCTGATGTCTAACTTGCTAATCTTGAGCTGTTATCTAAGACACAAAACTTGGCCTTACGGTTTCATCCTTGCCAATCAATTTCACCATAGGCCTCTGGTCACTTTGCTCCAGTTCCTGGAAAACATTTTCCAGCTGTGCTCCTTGATTCCACTGTAGGGTGATAAAATCTAACCTCAGCTGATCTTCCATCTTATTTCAGTTCTCTTTCTTTTAGTTCTCACCGCAGCTCCTCCAAACCTTTTATATCCCTCACACGACCCTGTGGCCCTTACACCTAGTTTCTTAAGCAAATTATCTGACTTATTTTTCACATAGAAAAATAAGGCTCTGACACACTTGCTGTTTCTTTCTTTTTCTGCCCGCATTTATTCCTGCTTCAGGGGAAGATTTATCCCCCATCTTGTGTAATGAATCCCCTCATTGTTGCTCAGGATCCCACGCGCTCTTGATTCCGCAGGGACCTCCCTCTCTTTTATGTCCCCGTGCTGCTTTATTTCTCCACTCTCTTCCTGTAGTGGCTCCTTCTTCTAAACATATAAACATATCTTCCATCAAAATCACTGTATTTCCATCTACATTTCGTCCCATCTATTTTTCCCTTTATATCTAAGCTTCCAGAAACAGTAGCCTAGGCTCACTGAACTCACCTGTTCACTGCACACTCTGGATTCTGCCCCATCCATACTGCTGAGGCACGCGACAGCGATGGCCACTTCTTCCTCCCTAAATCTCTTTGCTCCCTTCCTCCCATGACCCTGCTTTCTCTGGATTCTCCTCTCACTTACCTGGCTGTTCTTTCTAATCCTCTTCTGATTCCTCGTTTCTCTTGCTGTCAGGGTTTTGTCCTTTGTCTTTTCCTCATTTTTCATGTACTGCCTGTCTAGTCTAATGCATGCGTACTGGTTACTATGCTACGTGTGGGCTTCCACTCCCGCTCCACAATCCGTATCTCTAGCCAAGGCCTGTTTCTTGAGTTTTTTGTTGGTGTATCCATTGCCCCCAAAACACTGAACACCCACCTAAGTATTCCAGCACCTCCCCACCGATTTGTGCTGGAGTGATTTTGCTAACCCGCAAGTCTGATTAATGATACTACTTTCTTTTTTTTTTTAGTTTTTCTTTATTTATTTTTAGAGAGGGAAGGGAGGGAGAAAGAGAGAGAGAGAAAGAGAAACATTGATGTGCGGTTGCTGGGGGCCATGGCCTGCAACCCAAGCATGTGCCCTGACTGGGAATCGAACCTGTAACACCTTGATTTGCAGCCCACGCTCAATCCACTGAGCTACGCCAGCCAGGGCAATGATAGTACTTTCTAATACATTTTATTGCAGTGGCTTATAACCCATTTTAAATCTTCAACCTTCTGATGAATTTGATAATAGTTATGCCCATCCCTCAGAAAATTGCCGTCTTAGAGGTTTGCATACATCCTAAAGCCCATCCAAGGAATTATTTTTCTTTTAAAGATTTTATTTATTTATTTTTTAGACAGGGGGGAAGGAAGGGAGAAAGAGAGAAAGAAACATCAATGTGTGACTGCCTCTCGCCCGCCCCCTACTGGCAGGGGAGACCTGCCTGGCAACCCAGGCATGTGCCCTGACTGGGAATCAAACTGGCGACCCTTTGGTTTGTAGGCCTGCACTTCAATCCACTGAGCAACACCAGTCAGGGCTCATCCAAGGAATTCTGTTAATGATCCCAGCTTTCATGGCTCTCTGTTTCCTGGAGGGCAGAGTCCAGGCTCTCTGGACTTCGTTTATGATATGTTCATTGTGATATGCCTCCTGCTTCCGTGCACCACCCATTTTGTCTTTTTCCACTGCCTGCCCCTCCCCCTCCCATGTCATCTGTGTTCCATCCATATGAAACTACTTAGAGCTCCTCCTTACATCACATCATTTCATGCTTATTGGATCATTTCATTTGCTACTTTCTCTGGGCAGTGTCCTCGGCCACGATGGCAGTTAAGACTCAGCTCACATCTCCAGTGACGCCATCACTGACTGACACACGCAGGCAGAACTCCTTGCCTTCCTGTTAAATCATACCTGTGCCCGGCCTCTGTTACTGTACTAGACACTCTGCACGAAAAGTCTACATTTACCTGTCTGATTCTGCTCCCCTGCAATTTGTAAAATTTTGTTCACGTGGCCACTTTCGTTAAGCACTGTTCCAGGCAATGAAGAATCAGCAGCGAGCAGAATAGAGAAAGCGCTTATCTCACGGAACTTAAGTTCGAGGGGGGAGAATACAAGGCAGTGAGCTATGAAATTTAAATATATCTATATAGCGTGTCCGACGCAGGAAGATAAAGCAGGGTAATCCTGAGAAGGTGGTATTTGAGCAAAAATCAGAGGCGGGTGAGGGAGAAAGTTATGTGTGTATGTGTGATAAGAGCGTCCCAGACAGGAGGAGTGGTAAGCGCGAAAGCCTGGAGCCAGGAGAATGAATGAACATCAACATCAAGGAGAACAGTGTGGCTGGAGCACAGGAAATGCGTGGGACGGGGATAAGACCAGAGAGGCGGGGAGCGCGGGACTAGATTGGGTAAGGACATTGAATGCACTTGTGTTCTTGCCCTGAGATATAAGCCACTGGAAAGTTTGGGGTGTAGGGGTGTTGGGATATGACTTAACATTTTAAAATTGGCACTTCGGCTGCTGTGGTAAAAACACACTACTGGGGGGAGGGCGAGAGCAGAAGAGGGGAGATGCGTTAGTGCCGTAGTCCAGGTGGTTTGGACCAGTGAGGTAACAGTAAGGATCAGAAGAAGTGGTCAGTTTTGAGATGTGTCTTGAAGCTGGCTGACAGATTTTTTTTCACAGACTGGGTTTGGGGTATAAGTGAAACAGGACTCAAGAATTTTATGCCAAGGTGTGTGGCCTAAGCAATTTAGATGGGTAGAGCCCTGGCTGGTGTGGCTCAGTGGATTGGGCACCAGCCTGCGAACCAAAGGGTCTCTAGTTTGATTCCCAGTCAGGGCACACGCCTGGGCTGTAGGCCAGGTCCCCGGTGCGGGGTGCACAAGAGGCAACCACACATAGATGAGTAGAGTTACCTTTTAAATAAAATGGGGAGACCACAGTGCGGGGCGGTAGGCACTGTAGAGGAAAGCTGATCGGGAGTTCAGTTTTCGACATGTGAAGTTTGGACGCCTATTAGAAACTCCAGTGGAGATGTCACATAAATGGGCCTATCAGGTAGGCAGTTGGCTGCACAAGTGTGGAGTTCCAGGAAACGGACTGGGTTGGAGATGTGGATTTAGAAGATCCACTTATATATAGGTCTGTGCTGTCCAACATGGCAGCCACTGGTTACACGTGACTTCTAATATTTCAACTAAGCAAAGTGAAACTGGATTTAAAATTCAGCCCTTCAACCATACTAGCCCCGTTTTCAGTGCTCGGTTGCCACGTGTCGTTAGCGCCTACTGCATTGGATGGAGCAGATATAGAACATTTCCTTCAGCAAAGAAAGTCCTGTCGGACAGTGCTGGTATAAAAAGTGTTTAAAGCCTGGGTAAGATGGCCAAGCAGTGAGAGCAGATAGAGTGGGGGAAGGAGGTCTGAGGGTTGAGCTGTGCAGCTCTCTGGGTTAGGAGGTCACGGAGATGAGGGAGAATCCGAAAAGAAGACTGCGAAGAGGTGATGAGTGAGGAGGCAACTGCTAAGAGTAGGGTGTCCTAGAAGCCACTTGAAAAAAATATTTTTTTAAACACTCTTTTTCCACGAAGATCCCAACTAATTTGACTCTAGATTTCTTTTTTTTTTAGATTGTATTTATTTATTTTTAGAGAGGAAAGAGAGAGAGAGAGACATCAATGTGCGGTTGCCGGGGGGCGTGGCCTGCAACCCAGGCATGTGCCCTGACTGGGAATCAAACCTGCGATGCTTTGGTTTGCAGCCCTCACTCAATCCACTGAGCTACGCCAGCCAGGGAAAAAAGTATTTCAACAAGCAGTGAGGGATTAACTTCAAAATGCTTCCAGTAGGACAAGTGTAATGAGGACTGCCATTAGATTTTACTAAAGTAAAGGAAGGTCACTGGTAAAAAATAAAACTGAATAAGTGAAAATAAAAAAGTAAAAGTCACTGGTTTACTGTATGGACAATTCTTTGAAGTGGTAGAAACAAAAGCTTTGTTGGAGTGGATTCACAAGAGAATGAGAAGATGTGAACTGGACATATGTAGCCAATAGACTCAACACATTTCAGAACTTTTGCCACATGCACAGAGGTAGAGAAAGGGGACAGTAGCTAGAGAGGTAAGTGAGATCAAGAGGGTTTTGCTTTTTTAAAAAGATAGCACGGACTATGTATAGTAGAGACAGAAAATTTGATTATATAGGAAGAGCGAGGGGTGAGTTGTTAGAGAGATGTTCTAGAATAGGCAAAGGAGGGGGAGCGGGTGCCCAAGTGGAGAAGTTGGCCTTGAATAGGAGCAGGGCAGTTTATAATAAGAGAAGCAAAGCTAGATTAATGTGTGCACGGGCACAGGTAGCTGAGGAGATGTGGCAATGAGAGCTTGTAGAAGTTCTCTTCCAATTGCTTTTCTTCCCTTTCTGAAATAGGACACACAGTCATCCTCCGGTATGAGGATGGGAGAAGACATCTTAGAAGGAATGGGGAATGAATGGGCTAGGGCAGGGGTATGCAACCCATGGGCCACAGGCTGCATGCGGCCCAGCACAAAATCGTAAATTTACTTAAAACGTTATGAGATTTTCAACTTAAAACATTATGGATGTTCAACTTAAAAGAAAAATTTGGTCGTGTCTCTTTATTGGAATTTTACGGGTCCTATTTTCCCAGAGACAGGTAGCCCTTGCTCCGTAATCACGCTTTATTCATGTCATCGCTGTTTGGCAGCACCTACATTTGCGAGCAACTGTTTTGAAGGATGAAACATACTAAGAGTAAAATTAGAACCAAAATATCTGATGAAAACCTTGAGAAATCAGAAAGATTTGCAAGTACTTCTATCAAACTAGATATTGATGTACTAGTTTCTCAAATACAATGGCAAACATCTGACAGGTTTTGGGTTGCTCTGTTTTCTTTTATAGTACAAATATTTTAAAAATCAGCCCTGGCTGGTGTGCCTCAGTGGTTGAGTACTGGCCTTCAAAGCAAAGGATCACCTGTTCAATTCCCAGTCAGGGCACATGCCTGGGCTGTGGGCCAGGTCCCCCAGTAGGGGGCGCTCAAGAGGCAACCACACATTGAGGTTTCTCTCCCTCTCTTTACTCCCTTCCCCTCTCTAAAAATAAATAAAATCTTTAAAAAATAAAAAAAAGTTTTATTACTTGGATGTGTACATTTTCTATAGTAGTGATGACTTGGGACCTATTTGACGATTTTAAAAGATTATTAAAAGGGCTGCTGCATCATTAGGGTTACTATGTGAAGACTCTTTTGCTTATCTGTGGTGGCGGATATCACAAAAAATATTCACGGACCTTTTTTTGTGCTCATCAGTTTTCGTTAGTGTTTGTGTATTTAACGTGTGGCCCAAGACAACTCTCCTTCTTCCAGGGTGCCCCAGAGATGCCAAAAGGCTGGACACCCCTGGACCAGGGAAACGTAGTAGAATTGCCAGACAGCACTAAGGGCCCCCTGAAGCTTAACGGTCACGCGTTTACACTGGGGCATCAGCGTGGTTACGTGTTTTTGTTCAACCACATTCAGTTACTGACGCACAACAGATAGTTTTCATTTAATTCAGTGGCTTTGAAAGGTCAAAGGGAAGAGCCGAACAGAAAGCGTCACCAAGAAAGAAACGTTTGAACTGACTCCTGCAGGACATGATGGAGTTTGGTATTTTGGGAGGAGGGGGGAGGGTGTTCCAGGTGGAGGCAGCAGCGTATGAAAAGGCCCAGAGGCACGGAAGAGCAGAGTATGTTTCTTGAAAATTGCAAAGTCAGTGTTGTAGGCTGCATTGTGTCAAATATACCATGTAGTGAGTGTCAAGGTTAGACAGGAAGAATGCGCCTTGTGGGGTTGTTAGAACTCGCTAAGTTCTAATGAAATGAACTCGCTAAGTGTTACTTCTGTATTTTCAGATGCTGTTAATGCTCAGCAGTACAAAGTCCTCATTGGTAACCGGGAGTGGATGATCAGGAATGGTCTCGTCATTAATAATGATGTAGATGACTGCATGATTGAACATGAGAGAAAGGGTCGGACTGCCGTCTTGGTGGCCATTGATGGTAAGGTTTTGCAGAAGTACACTGTGACTCGGTGTCGTGATGTCAGTTACTGTTTCATGTGCAGTTTTGAGAGACTTCTGATAATGTTATCAGAAGAAAAATGAGTTTTCAATTCCGTTTGCCTTTATTTGTTTTGATTATGCTATTACAGTTGTCCCAATTTTATTCCCCCCTTTGCCCTGCACCCCTCCCACCCTCCAGCATTTTCCCCCTCCCTCAGTTCATGTCCATGGGTTGTACATACAGGTCCTTTGGCTCATTTGCCTTTAAATTAGCTATAGTGTTTGGGGTGTCAGCCAGTATTTCTCAAAGGAAAGAAAAGGGGTCTTCTAGTATCCATTAAAGCTTGTCCTTTTATTTTCCTATTACTACCATCATGAAAAATCCCTGCCTTACTGTGTGAAATTTTCATGACCACATCGGGAGGTGTGTTGCAGGGTTTGTGGTATCCACTCTGTGTGGGTTTGGTGATATTTTGAGTTAAGCCAAGCCCTGCACAGTCTGACTTCACAAAATTCTTTTCTTTCTGAAATGTTAACTCAGAACATTATTCTGCTTTCTCCGTCTTCCAAACTCCCATTTTCTTGGGCCCCTGTATTAGACGTGCTGTGCGGCCTGATAGCGATCGCCGACACAGTGAAGCCCGAAGCGGAGCTGGCTGTCCGTACCCTGAAGTCTATGGGCTTAGAGGTCGTTCTCATGACTGGGGACAACAGCAAGACGGCTCGGTCTATCGCTACTCAGGTAACCGGTTTATGTAGTTGTTGGGGCGGGGTATGTGGTAACTTCTAACTCTTTATATGTTTCCTTTCTTGCCCTTCCTTCAGATGCTAAAAAATTTAGAGGAGCTATTCTTTTCATTATCCCCAAGTACACAGATGTGGTTCTTTAAAGAATCGACATGTTATTCAGCCAGGAGTTTGGGCTCTATGTGCTACTGTAATAAGTAAAAATCTATTGGCTTAGTTCATGAGATGCTTAAGTGACATTGTGCAGCCATTTCTGTCGATGCTTCCCTTCAAATGTCGCTGATACTTTTTTCACCAGAGCTGCCGGCCTGAGCCAGGCTCTGATCCATGCGCACTTCTCCTCCAGCACACGCTGAACACCGCCTTCTGATGCACCGCCTGGCATACGGGGCTGGCCGAAATGTCCGTGTGTTTTTTTCTGTGAAATAAAAGACACATGTTTCATTTTCACGAATAACTGAACTGAGTTGGATATTTGGAGTATGTCGGCTATCTCCCACATGGTAGAACATTGATTGTTCTCAGTGAGTGTCTCAATTTGATCGCTATCAACTCCAACTGGTCTGCCCTCCTGTGGAGCATCGTGGTCCAGTGAGAAATCTCCAGCACGAAACTTCACAATCCAGTTTTGACACATTCGATCAGTTGCAGCAGCTTCTCCACACTGCACAAAATTTTTTTGTGTTTCAGGTGCATTTTTATCTTTCTTGCAATAACAAAGCATAATATGCCGAATATGTCGCTTCTTCTCTTCCATCTTCCACATTAAAGTGGCTACACAGAAAGTCACCAATTTCGATAAGTTTTCTAAATGCACCCTGGTATGACAGCTGTCACAATACAGTCTAACAAAACTGTTTTGAATGACATTAAAGACAACTAAGCACGACTAAGAGCCATCTTACGGAAAAAAACTAATGGATTTGTTGGCCAAGCCAATAGCATTTTTCTGCTATTGAGCCCAACATTTGCCTTTCCTTCCAAACTTTTCCAATGTCAGTCTTTTCATCTATTAAATAACATTCTTGCATAAAAAATACAAAAGAATATAAAGTGAAAAGTTTGCCCTCCTTTTCCCAAGCTCCCTGTCGAGTCCTACCCCCCCCCACACTGTTTCATATGTGTCCATGTTCATATACAAGTGTACCATTCTGGCATTTTCAACATAAATTGGATGATTCTTGTATAGATTGTTAGCAGTTTGCTTTTTTACATAACAGTATAAATGCCTTGGCGCTTTGTCCATGTCTGAACATACAGTTATTTATTTTTCTACGTTGCTGCATGGAATTCCATGGTATGGTCTACGTCATAATTTAATTAACCATTTCTCTAATCATGGGCATTTCAGTGGTTTTGAAAATTTTGTTACTACAACAGGGTAATATTGTTGTAATATTGCATATTATAATGTAACCTTTGTGCGTGTACAAGTATGTCCAAAATAGAGCGAGATGTGGAATAGCGGAACCAAATGATGCACATACTTTGATAGATGCTAGCTAATACCCTGCAAAAGACAGGACCAATGTACACACTCACCAACAGTGTATAAGGGAGCTCCTCTCTCCCTATCCTCACTGTCACTGGATATTATCAGTCTTTTAAAACTTGGACATCTGGTGGGTGGAAAATGATAACTCCTTAACGCCGAGCTCTGTTTCAGGTACTCAGTAATCTTCCTTGACTGGAGTTTATTTTTCCTGATGTAGGTCGGCATCACTAAGGTGTTTGCTGAAGTTCTCCCTTCCCACAAGGTGGCTAAGGTGAAGCAACTTCAAGAAGAGGGCAAACGGGTAGCAATGGTAGGAGACGGAATCAATGACTCCCCCGCCCTGGCCATGGCCAACGTGGGAATTGCCATCGGCACGGGCACAGATGTAGCCATTGAGGCGGCCGACGTGGTTTTGATAAGGGTAAGCGCTGTAGCCTGAACTTTGCGGAGTGTAAGTCTGCTCTCCATGCTCGGGGGTAGTGTCGTAAAGTACATCCAGCACAACGATTCTGTTCTCCTAAGTCCCTTGCTCCTCCCAGCTACGGAGTCTGGGAGGATTCGTGGTGGGTGTATGAGAAGTCTTACTGCTTACTTCCAGACTTGCTCAATCCAGTGAAGCAAATGAGGACAAGCCTCTAAAGTGAAGAGCAAGACTTGGGAATATACTTAATAAAATTAGCTTCAATGCATACTGAGGTTCTTTTAATAGCATTTAATCCCTCTTCCAGCATACAACTCTACGAGTGTTTTCAGAACCCTGAGAAAAATTCTTGAACAACATCTTCCCAAGGCTGACTCAAATTGTTGGCGATATCTGAGATTTGTAGTTATTCACATATCACCCTAAAGTACATGTCACCTCCAATATACACAGTAGCATATGCAGAGGTTACTAGTCAAGCTAGAGTCTCTCACTAATATTACAAATATTTCTGTTCTCAGAATGATCTTCTGGACGTCGTAGCAAGTATTGATTTATCAAGGAAGACAGTCAAGAGGATTCGGATAAACTTTGTCTTCGCTCTAATTTATAATCTGGTTGGAATCCCCATAGCTGCTGGTATGTGACTGTTAACGAGTATCGCTTTGTCGTCTGAAGTCATTCAGAGACCTATCGCTTTGGAAGTTTTAGTCCTTTTATTAGTTTTGAGCTCCTTTTTTTGTATGTAGCGTGCTGGTGTGCTGAGAGGTAATATTAAAATCAACAATTTTATTTTTTTAAGAATTTATTTATTTTTAGAGAGGGGGGAAGGGAGGGAGAGAGAGAGAGAAACATCGATGTGTGGTTGCCTCTCACACACCCCTCCCTGCCAGGGATTCAGCCTGCAACCCAGGCATATGCTCCGACTGGGAGTCGAACTGACAACCCTTTGGTTCACAAGCCTGTGCTGAATTCACTGAGTCATACCAGCCAGGGCAAAATCAACAATTTTAATTTTCAGCAATGTTGATTATAGTCTAGAATGTATAAGTATTCTGGCAGGTTTGTTTTATCTTACATTTTCCTCCCAATTTACATTTTGAAAATTCCAAACTTACATAGACAAGGAAACAAGTAATGCAGTGAAAACCTCTATGCCCTTAACCTATTCATCAGTTAATTATATTTTGCTACCTTAGGTCATTTCTTTCTACATGTACAGTCATACTCATGTATAACTGTTTACTTATGTTTTTTGCTTAATAGAGCAAATTCTCCATTAATCTCACTACCCAAACACAACTGTCATTAGCATTTTAGTCTGTGTAGTTTCTGTCTTTTTTCCTCTGCGTGAAGTTCTGTATTGCCACGTGTTTGTAATTACAACATACAGAGAATTCCTGCTCTTCATGTAGTGTTATAACAGCCAACAGGGGTTTTTTTTTTTCAGTTTGGGAACCAGATGAGAGAGATACTGAATGAAGAAATATGACCAAGAAAAACCAATATAGAATGGTATAATAAACATCTGATAATCTCCTGTACTTAGCTTGGTACAAGTTAGTAATCACGTAGAAGAAATAGTCACTTTCTTCTTGTCCTCTCTGATTTGGGAGCCAAAGAAAGACATAAAATGACATGAGAGCAAACACAAAGCTGTTGAGAAACACACCAATGCTGAGAGGACAAAGAATCAAAGAACAATCAAAATCCAAGCCCTGGCTGGCGTAGCTCAGTGGATTGAGTGCAGGCTGTGAACCAAAGCAACACAGGTTCGATTCCCAGTCAGGGCACATGCCTGGGTTGCAGGCCACAGCCCCCAGCAACTGCACATTGATGTTTTTCTCTTTCTCTCTCTCTTTCTCCCTCCCTTCCCTCTCTAAAAATAAGTAAATAAGATCTTTTTAAAAATTCAGAGACATTAATTCACGGGGCAAGCGATTTTTTAAACATTAAATAATATGTGATCATTGTACAAAAAGTAGAAAATACATAGAAGTTCATAAAAAATTAAAAAGTACCATAAGCCTGTCTCATCCATATCATATGAGCAAATATTAACATGTCTGTCAAAACCAAGTGTGAATGAGTTGTTGGAACATGAACTCTCATTTCCTGTCGATGGTACTGTGATCTGGTACGACCGCCTGGGGGAACAAGCTAGGAACGTCCACCGGAAGCCGAACATGTGTCCATGTTATAAGCCAGCAGCGTGCCCTGTAGGTATGTGCTCTGGGCGGATTCTCAGACGCGTGCCCCGGGAGACATTCTCGAGAATGTTCACAGCAGCGCTGTGCTAGTGGAAAATCGGCGGCCACATACATCTGCAGCGACAGGAAGCTAAATTCCAAACAAGGAAATGATCTGTAAATAAGCACTGGAAGCCACATCAGGGATCCGCGTAGTAGCATCTGCCCTACCTGACCGACCCTTGTTTCCTAGGAGTGTTTATGCCCATCGGTTTGGTTCTGCAGCCCTGGATGGGGTCCGCTGCGATGGCCGCTTCATCCGTCTCGGTAGTACTGTCTTCTCTCTTCCTGAAACTGTAAGTACGATGGCTTGCTCACGTTCCTATTTTATATCCCTTTTATCGTCCACAGTCTGTCTTGGTGGGTTTTGTTCGTATATGTTGATCCATGATAAGCCCCAAATGCCTTAATGCAAATGTTAGCTACGTAATTATCACATTGCAAGCACAAAGACCAAGCAGGGTAAAACCGAGCACGTGGGCTCTGAGAGGCGGGGCTACTGATCACGTGACTACACGTGGGCCGCCTTTCGAGCTGCTTTCCTAGCAGGGACGCCTTTGCGCATTTCATCCCGGGCAGATCTCCTTTCAGTTTTGGATGTAACAGGCACCTAGTTCACATGTGGTTATTTCAAACCAGCGTGCTCTTGCCTGTGTCCAGGTACAGGAAACCAACCTACGAGAATTACGAACTGCGTGCCCGAAGCCCGATGGGACAGAAAAGCCCTTCGGAAGTCAGCGTTCACATCGGAATAGATGACACCTCAAGAAATTCGCCGAAACTGGGTTTGCTGCACCGCATTGTGAATTACAGCAGAGCCTCCATCAACTCCCTGCGCTCGGATAAACGGTCCCTAACCAGCATCGCCACCAGTGAACCCGACAAGCACTCACTCTTGGTGGGAGATTACAGGGAAGACGACGATGACACGGCGTTGTAACAGGCCAGGCCGCAGGGGGCAGCCCCTTGAGCGCCTGTCCGCCTGTCGGTGTGTGCACTGACTCGCCACTCACCGCCGTCACCTTCGCCTTGCAAAATATTGAGGAAGGACTTGGTGTTGGTCTCGTGCTCTTATACTAGGGATTTTATTGGCATTGCATTTTTCCCGATGGTAACAACATCCTTTTCAGGGCATCGGCACTCTGAACCCAGCTTTATTTAGAGTGAATTTCCAATCTCTTGTTTTGTTTTCCCTAGCAAGAGGTAAAGTGAGCCAGTGAGCTTTACAGCAAGCCAGCAAGCCCTACCATTGAAGATTGCCAAACTGTTGCTGAAGTGATAGATCATTCGTTTTCGCTGATGAAAAAAAAAAAAAACTGAAGGAAACGGTAGTTAAGTATTTGAAGATTTCAGAGTACGATCCTGAGGAACTTCTCGAGCCCTGATCCCTGCCTGATGGGGGAACTGTGGCTTTCAGAGCATTGTATAAAGCATCTAGTTTTAGAAAGAAAACAGTAGAAACTGTTTAAACATAGATGTGCCTTAATTAGTACTGGCTTGATTCCCCCCCCCCCCGCCCCGCCCCGCCTTATTCTCCCTGCACCTACGTCCTTGCAGTTGCTTTCGTAGATGACCCAGTGTGTTTTCTTTTGTAGTTTCCTTTGAGGACGCTAAGCGTGGGTGGTTGTTTCATTGATAAAAATAACTGACCATTTTCCCAATATCTTGTTCCTTTCTTTATCTTGTAGTTCAAACGTCCTTAAAGGTAGCATGCCCTGCTTCTCATCTTTCCGTTGTAAAAAGCATAGCAGATTCTTCCCGCAGTGACTCCCGAGCTTGGTGAAAGCTTTCCGTTCACTCCTCAAGTTCAGTGCTAGGTGGTTCTGTCCGCATCGGTGCCCAAACTGAAGATTTTGAGCCTCTTCCACAGTTGTTGTTTTCAAAGATCAAAGATTTGTCAAAGATTTTTTTTAAACCATGTTCAACATATACGGGTCATACAATTACCTGGACTCACTAAATTTGTCCCCCCCCCCCTTTTTTTTATAAGACCTTAGCTGGTAGATATCATGTAATAGATTTTAATTGTCTTTTAGTGTTTTAGGGAACCCCTCAAAATGACTTTAAAGTAATGCTATTACACAAAACTGCTTTTACCAAAAATACAATGAATTGTAATACCGCAATGAGAATTTCCCTAGGTTGTGATATACCTTTCAGGCAAATGTGTACTTTTCCCTAGTTGAAAACATTTGCACTCGCTAATTAGTTAGTATGATTGGCAAATTCAGGGGCTTGTTCTCATTGCCGTATAAATTTAGAAATTCCCCTGCAAGTGCCTGGGAATAATACACTACTGGCCAGAGATCTGGTACTTGTCTCACTATTGAAATTCCCTTGTTAACTGTGAGATGGATTTCATATGTGGAATACATAAGTGAAGAGAACACATAAATGAATTTCCAATGTTTTGTTCCCACTGCCATAATGTAAAGCTGCTAGCACAGTGCCTGGCACATGCTGTTGGTAATCAGTACATGTTCTTTTCTCTGCTTGAGGTCAGTAATAACGATTAAAAATCATTTTGATAGGACAGAGTCTGCCATCAGGTGGGAGTGGGGGATGGGTGTCTTCCCAGCCTACTTCCTGTTACCTTTACACACGCGCGTGCATGCGCACGCGCGCGCGCACACACACACACAAGAAGTTTACAACATTATTCCATGCTGTCTTTGTAGATTTGGAAAAGATCTCATTTTTATCTCAGCTATTTTAGAGAGAGCTGAAACTTCATGAAGGTGCTATTAATCTAGAAAGGCAAACCCATTGTAATGAAGTGTGAATGAGTTTGTAGTCTAGGCCTTTCCTTAGACCAACGCCTATGCTACCTTCCATGCTGCTGGTTTGAGTTTCAACATTTTCTACCTTTCATTCCAATGGCCTATCTTACCTAGAAGAAACACTTAATATGACAGGTGTATATTGGAGTTTTCAAAAAAGAAGCCCACCTCTCTCTCTCTCTCTCTCTCTCTCTCTCTCTCTCTCTCTCTCTCTCTCTCTCTCTCTCTCTCTCTCTCTCTCTCTCTCTCTCTCTCTCTCTCAAGCACTTGAATATAGCTAGTTCCCGCTGTCATTGTTCTGTGTGTGTTTGAGCTGTGCTCTTGAGCCCCACCTGCCAAGGGACCCAAGTCACAGGACTGTGCAAGGAGCAGCCTATAGTCTGGGGGAAATTAAGGATCGCATTTCAGCCCTTACTACCAGAGCAGAAGACATGCTCTCTTTAGAAAGAATCCATCTTTCAATGTCTGTAGGCATCTTTGAATTGTCTCCCACAAGTCTTGTTTGCAGTCTTGAACTCCCGTGAGCTTCCCAGAGCGGCTGTATTCACGGGAGAGAGAGGCAGTACATGGAGGGGACCCAAAACGTGGCTTTCAGTTAGTTGTAACTTGCGTTAAATAACTAGTTGCTGGTGAGAACAAAGTTTATTTATTAATGTGTCTATGTCTATTCATATTCAGATATAAACACACACACACATATACACACACATTACCATATAGAAAGAAACTAAATTGACAGTGGTCCCGCTTTACCCACATGGAACATGTTCGCAGACCCCCATAGATGCCTGAAACCGTGGATAACACTGAACGCTACATGGACTATGCTTTTCCCTATCATACATCCTTTTCACTTAAACAAAGCACTTTATGGTTTCTCTTGGGCATATCTGAATTGCCAGCGTCTCTACTCTTGTACTTTGGGGCCGTTATTGAGTAAAATGAGGGCAACTGGAACACAAGCACTGTGATACTATGACCGTCAATCTGATACATGACACGACTACTAAGGGACTCGCCGGTGGGGAGCGGATACAGCGTGGAGATGCGGGCCAGAGGGATGATTCGGGTCTCGGGTTGGACGGACTGGGGCAGCGTGCGATTTCATCGTGGTACTCAGAATGGCACGCAATTGAAAACTTATGAATTGTCTCTTTTTTTCTTGGAATTTTTCATTGAGGATTTTCCGACCACAATTGACTGTAGATAAGTGATAGGGGCAAGTAAAACCGCAGGTACGTAGGGACTACTGTGTATTTGAATTTGATATTTGAGGTTCTTTATTTGTTATTCGGTTATCATTCTTCTGTATTCACTCAGCAACCATGTCCTCAGGCTGACGTGAACAGGATGTTTTGATATTCAGTGCTTATTCAGACTCAACTACGGGCACATTTTCTCTTAAATATCCAAAGATGCCTTTTGAACTTCAAAGGTTAAAACACACCTAAAGTATTTAGTGTTGTAGTCTACAGAAGTGTGGTTGTCATTTGTGAAACTAGAAATGTTATTTTTCCTAGTTTAGTATCAACAGTTTAGTGTTAAATTTGATGCCTTGTGAACAAACACTTTTATATTGTGCTGTAACTTTTTACAAATTATTTTGTTCAGAATGCTTAAATAACACTGTAGACAGATGTTTCCAAAAATTTAAGCGTGCATATCTTTCATGTACACAGCTTAAAATCAAGAATGTATGTTCTTAGAGAATTTTTTCCATTACTTATGGATCTTGCTTTAAAAATGTTTTTCTTAATATTTATTTTACTCTGTTGTTGTTTTCTGTGGCTGAGGCATCTGGTTACTGGTTATTTTAACAAGAATAAAAACATCCCTGGAATCACTCCCTTTGGATTTTTTGGTGGTTTAATTCTTACTTTTCTATCATTAAAAATATTATTTTACCAAATATAAAAAGATATAAATCCATGCCAAATGATTAGCTGTTTTGACACTAAATGTCTATAGTCCTTCGGGAAGTTTATCTGGCGTGAGTAGCCAGATAAAGCACACAAGCAAGAATTCTTGTTCTTCATTTAAAACAGATTCCATAAGGGCATCGATAATAAATGCCTTTTGTAGCCAAAACCAGGCGTCTCAACCTTACATTTTTTTGGTTCAAGAAATGTTTAACTGAACATTGTTAAACATTGATTGTTTGCTACCCAAACAGCAGTGGGCGATGTTGTGCAATAATCATGTACTAGAGTCAAGTTATTGAGTAGTTCGTTTTTCCATAAGCATGTAATTGATCATATTTTGATTTGCCAAGGATGTGCCTTCAACTTTATAATTATAGTATTGTAAAAAAATTGTTTTTGTCAGTGTCTCGTTTGTTAAATCATCCAGCTCCTCTACCAGCACTTTCAAACTATCCTTTTTAGTGTTTTTTTTTTTGTTTTTTTTTCACTGTTAACAATGAGACAGGATTAGAGGGAGCACCATTTATTCACTGAGAGTGGGAGGGAAGAAATCTATTTTCCTTCAGACTCCACTTGGGTATCATTTTGTGAAGATGAGAATCCAAGACAGGAAGGTAATTGTCCTTTTGATAGGCAGTCTACCGCACAGGTGGCAAACAAGGCCCGAGGGCCAAGTCCAGCCCTCCACCTTGTTTTATCCGGCCCGGCACCTTGTGTCTACCCAGCAGCAGCATCGAGCTCTCGCTTAACTGTTCAGGAGTAGTCACATGTACACAGTCCTAATGTTACATTTGACCCTTTGAAGGCAGCCACGAGGCTGATGTGGCCCCCGGTGACAATGAGTTTGACACCCCTGCTATAAAGCAATGAAGTGTGATGCTACAAAGAACATTTATGCACTTTATTATGTACCTAAAATGATAAAATGTATTCATTTTGTCAGATCCTTTTTTTAAATCAGTCGCAACTCCCCTTGCCCCCTTTCCTGAGTCTGACATGAGACCATCCACTTTCCAAGTCTGCACTACTGGACAAATATCTGGAAGGAGAAAGGAAAAAGCAGATTTACAATTGATTTGCTTATGGTACTGTGACAACAGCTTTTGGGAACAGGAGGAACATGGGACATGGCCAATTCTTGAGTTGTCCCCTACCGTATTCACAGGCAGGGAAAGTGTCATTACATGGTCTTCTGAGAACAGTATCAAAGTATGGCATTTCTTATAAGTAATGCATTTTTGTTATTTTTCATGAGAAAATATGGGAAGGCGTAACAAAATTATAGAACATATGTTTAGAAGTCAGCAAGTATTCTCAGTGATGAATCATAATTCTATTCTCCATAACTGGTGATTGATTTAGGAGGCGGCGTGTGATGCAGTTCTGAACAATGAGACGAGGTGGATTCTCCTTGGGGCTTCTGGAAAAGTTTCCCTTTTTTTTTTTTAATTTTTTAAAAGATTTATTTATTTATTTTTAGAGAGGGAAGGGAGGGAGAAAGAGAGAGAGAGAGGGAAACATTAATGTGCGGTTGCTGGGGGCCGTGGCCTGCAACCCAGGCATGTGCCCTGGCTGAGAATCAAACCTGCGACACTTTGGTTCGCAGCCCGCGCTCAATCCACTGAGCTATGCCAGCCAGGGCAAAGTTTCCCTTTTAAAAAAAAAAATATCTATCTTTAGAGAGAAAGGAAGGGGGAGAAAGAGTGGGAGGGAAACATCAATGTGTGTGTGGTTGCCTCTCATGTGCCCCCTACTGGGGACCTGGGCCACAACCCAGGCATGTGCCCTGGCTGGGAATTGAACCAGCAACCTTTCGGTTTGCAGGCTGGCACTCAATCCACTGAGCCACACCAGACGGAGCTGTTTCTTCACTCTTAAAAAGTGGCACAAGTGAAATATCCCACTATATACCTATTTAAACCATCCAAGTTTGCTGGCAAAGATATGGAGCAACTGGAATCTCCTATATTACGGGTGGAAATCTAAAATGGCATAGCCAATGCGGAGAAAAGTTTGGCCAGTTCTTGTATACATACACTTGCCATATGACCCAGTGATCACACTCCTAGGCATTTACACTAGATCAAGGTTTCTCAGCCTTGACACTGTTGACATTTCGGGCCAGCTAATTCCTGGTTGCGAGGAGCTGTCCTATATGCATTGTAGGATGTTTAGCAGCGTCCCTGGCGGACGCATCCAGTAGATGGCAGTAGTAGTGCCCCCACGGCCCAAGTCGAGACAATTAAAATGTCTCCAGACATTGCCAAATACTCTCTGGGGGCAAAAGAGTCCTTGGTTGAGATACACAACTATAGAAAAATGAAACTTACGTTCATGCAAAAACTTATTCCCAAGTACTTCTAGGGGTTCTATTCGTAATTGCCGAGAACAAGGAACAACCCAAGTGTCTTTCAACTGGCAAATGAGTAAGCAAGCAGTGCTAAACCCATACCATGGAATACTACTCTGCAATAAGCGAGAAAGAGCCATTAATATACACAAAAAATTTATTGGATCTGAAACACAATATGCTGAGTGAAAGAAGTCAGTCTCAAAATTTTACAGACTGTGACTCTGTTTAGATAATGTTTTTTTATGTTACAGTTTACATTCAATATTGTTTTGTATTAGTTTGAGATATACAGCATAGTGGTCGGACAATCATATACTTTGCAAAGTGGTCCCCCTGATATTTCCAGTACCCAGCTGGCACCGTACATAGTTATTACAGTATTATTGACCGCATTCCCTATGCTGTGCTTTCCATCCCAGTGACGACTCTGTAGCTGCCAGTCTGTACTTCTCAATCCCTTCACCTGTTTCACCCCGTCCCCTCAACCCCCTCCACTCTGGCAACCAGCAGTCTGTTCTCTGTGTCTATGAGTCTGTTTCTGTTTTGTTTCTTTTGCTCTTTGGATTCCACATATGAGTGAGATCATATGTTATTTGTCTCTCACCACCTGGCTTATTTCACTTAGCATAATGCTCTCCAGGTCCATCCATGCTGTTGCAGAGGGTGAGATTCAATTCTATGACTGAATAATATTCCATTATATATATATATATATATATATATATATATATATATATATATATATATATATATATATATATATATGTTCAACAATGCTTTTATCCACTCCTTAGATGGCATTTTTTTTAGATTTTATTTATTTATTTTTAGAGAGGGAAGGGAGGGAGAGAGAGAGAGAGAGAGAGAGAGAGAGAGAGAGAGAGAAACATTAATGTGCGGTTGCTGGGGGCCATGGCCTGCAACCCAGGCATGTGCCCTGACTGGGAATCGAACCTGCGATGCTTTGGTTCGCAGCCCGTGCTCAATCCACTGAGCTATGCCAGCCAGGGAAGATGGCATTTTTCAAAAGACAGACTTATAACAACAGAAGGCAGATCAGTGGTTTCCTCAAGGCTTTGGGGGGGGCGTGAGAAAACCCTTCTGTGTATTGATTATGGCAGTGTGTTTACATGTATTAAAGCTTATGGAACTGTACACCAAAAGAGTCAATTTTATTGTATGCCCCCTTAAAAGGTATTTTTTTAAAATAAGAGGGTTAAAAAAAGACAAGATTTTTGAATGTTATTAAATGAGGATATGATTCCCAGAGCTGCTATAGCTGTCTCGCCCTTGCTGGTGTCGGCAATAATCAACTTTGGAACCGCCCCTCTCAGGACTTTTTGCCATGTGAGATGGATAGTACATTTATTTCCCTTACCCTTAAAGCCACTTCCGGTTTGGTTTGCTATCACTTGGCACTAAAAGGCATCCCCTTACAAGTAGAGGTTAGGTGTTATTCTTCATCAACATGTTAACATTTCATTTGGTCTTGAAAAGTAAACATTGAACTTCTAACATATTAAAATAATTAAATGCAATATTGATGGAGAACAATCCAGAAGGTTTTCTTTTAATGAACATGACCACCATGATAGAACCTTCATACCCTTCATATCAGTGCAGCTTTTTATATTCCCCTGGCTCCTACAGATACCCCGTGAGTAAGACAGACATCATTTATCCCATTTTTCAGTTGAGTACAGAGTGTGCAAGTGAGTGATAGGTAACATGTTTATGGTCCATACCTGAACACAAAAGGCTAAGCAATGGTTTCAACTTTATTGTAGGGATGTGTCAGAAGGAACAGTTTTGACTAGAGGAGGCTGTTTGTACCCTCCAACTTAAGCTACAATATGCAGGAAGAAAGGAATAAAAATGTTATTTAAGAGTGTAATAATAAAGCCCTGGCTGGCATAGCTCAGTGGATTGAGCGCGGGCTGCAAACCAAAGGGTTGTCAGTTTGATTCCAAGTCAGGGCGCACGCCTGGGTTGCAGGCAAGATCCCCATTGGGGGCCATGTGAGAGGCAACCACACATTGATGTTTCTCTTCCTCTCTTTCTCCCTCCCTTCCCTCTCTAAAAATAAATAAAAAATCTTTTAAAAAAAAGAGTGTAATAAAGACAAGAAAATCAATTCTGAACTGCTAGACCTACCGAATAGGTAGGAAGTGACTTTCTGAAGAGGCTGTCACTTTCCTGGGTTCGTGAAAAGAACATAGAGGATGATGCGAAGATACCAGCAGGTACTAGGATATTCATTGCCGACAAGGTGGGTGGTCCACTTTTTTAAAGATACAGACACAGATTATGTGTAGGTCTGATTTGGTGACTCAGTGTGAAGGTACTTAATGCCACTGAGTTGTATGCTTAAAATGCTTAAGAGGGCGAATTTCATGTTACATACATTGTACCACAATGTTTCAAAAGACAAAAGAAAACAGGATTTGATTTTCTGGATTACGTCTAATAACTCAAGACTGATAAACCCTAGGCATCTTACAAAGAACATCTTTTTTTTTTTTTTTAAAGATTTTATTTATTTATTTTTAGAGAGGGAAGGGAGGGAGAGAGAGAGAGAGAGAAAGAGAGAAACATCAATGTGAGGTTGCTGGGGGTTCTGGCCTGCAACCCAGGAATGTACCCTGGCTGGGAATCGAACCTGGGACACTTTGGTTCCCAGCCCGTGCTCAATCCACTGAGCTACGCCAGCCAGGGCTTAAGAACATCTTTTTATTTACTTATTTATTTTGTCCTCACCTGAGGATGTTTCCATTGATTCTAGAGACAGAAATAAATATGGATGTGAGAGAAATGTTGATCAGTTGCCTCCTGTATGGACCCCTACAAGGGGTGGAACCCACAACCTAGGTATGTGCCCTGACCAGGGATCGAACCTGTGACCCTTCAGTTTATGGGAATTAATGCTTCCACCAACTGAGCCACACCAGCCAAGGCTAGTAGCAAGGTAATTTTAGGACTATATAAATGTAACTACTCCTTAACTGTTAAGGGGTTGAAATTACATTTGGCCCTTTGAAGGCAACCACAAGGCTGATGTGGCCCCCGGTGAAAATGAGTTTGACACCCCTACTTTATAGGCTATTTGCCTGATAGTGCTTGTGTAATTCAGAGAGCATCCAGACCAGCAGTGTGGTATGTTTTCCCACAAAACAGCACTTATTAGCACCATGAATTTCTTCTATAAGTTACTTACATGATGAGCCAGAGATAGTCTTTACCCTTGCCTTCCTTGCAACTCAGTTGAGAGAACTGGTCATACATGGTTTCTGGAAAGAAATATGTAAAGACTACATCTCTGAGCAGCCCGGAAGGGGAGGATACCTTGCTGGTAGCCTTATAAAGACCTTTCTATTAGGAAAAATCTCCTGGGATTAGTACTCCCAGAAAGATGAATGAAGAGAATGTTTCAGGAGTGGTGTCACTTAGTGTGACTTTCTGTTTAAATTTCTTTCCTGCTTTTGCAAATTGTCTCAGCTAAAATAATTTTTTAAGAAATTTTTTAAAGATTTTATTTATTTATTTCTTAGAGAGGGAAGGGAGGGAGAAAGAGAGAGAGAGAGAGAGAAACATCAATGTGTGGTTGCTGGGGGTCGTGGCCTGCAACCCAGGCATGTCCCCTGACTGGGAATCGAACCTGTGATGCTTTGGTTTGCAACCTGCACTCAATCCACTGAGCTACGCCAGCCAGGAAAATAAATAATATTTTTAAAGGCAGATGCCTCACAGCACATCCAGAGAGTTCAGAAGAAGAGGAGACACTCACTCAATGCGGCAGCAGAAAGGACACAGGCTCGAGGGAAGCAACACAGGTGCTGGTGGGACAGAGATACCGTCACAGCTCTGTTCCTTACTGGCTGGGTGGCTTTGGGCGAATTATGTAACTATGCCGTGTCCCGGTTTCCTCATCTAAAAACTGCAAAAGTGATAATACCTCATAAAGTTTTTTGTTACCTGTGTAAATACATGTAAAGCACTCATTACAATGCCTGGGATATGATAAATGCTCCCTATTTTTTTCCAGCAACTATTATTATTATATTTTTTAAGATTTTATTTATTTATTTACTTTTAGAGAGGGAAGGGAGGGAGAAAGAAAGAGAAACATCAATGTGCGGTTGCTGGGGGCCGTGGCCTTCAACCCAGGCATGTGCCCTGACTGGGAATCGAATCTGCTACACTTTGGTTCGCAGCCTGCGCTCAATCCACTGAGCTACGCCAGCCAGGGCTCTATTATTATTACTATTATTCAACAGGTACTCCATAGTATGAGTGAGAATATTAAAAAGCCAAAAGAGAGGACCGTCCATTTAAAAAAAAAAATGTCTCGGAAATCCTGCTAGGGGGAAATCTCTCCTCTTCTGGAAAAAAAAAAAGAGACTTTGTTCAGGTATAGCCCACCCCTTCCCCAGGGTGATGTTATTACAAAATATACTATTCTGTTTTTTCTCTCTTTTTTAAAGATTTTATTTATTTTTTTTTAGAGAGGGAAGGGAGGGAGAAAGAGAGAGAGAGAAACATCAATGCATGGTTGCCTCTCATGTGGCTCCCACTGGGGACCTGGCCTGCAACCCAGGCATGTGCCCTGACTGGGAATCGAACCTGCGATGCTTTGGTTCACAGTCCATGCTCAATCCACTGAGCTATGCCAGCCAGGGCTTGTTTTTTTCTCTTTTTATGAGCTGCACCTCTACCTAAAGGCTGTGGTTGTAGTACTTAAACACTAGGAGCACTGGGCTGTCAAAAGAAGGCAGATACCCAAGCTTCTGGAGTGCTATCTTTGTGCCCCCCTCCCCACCTCCCGTGCCCAGTACTATAGAACTATAGAGATGTGTGAAGGACAGAGTACTGAAATTAAACTACCAAGGCCTGGCTACAAATTCCTCGGTTCTGGCAAAGGCTGGCCCTGGAAATGGGTTTCTGTGGTGTTACTTCTTCCCACAAAAATGAAAGCGTCAGTGCTTTGAATCAGTTCCTAATAGCGTGGCTTCAATGTCTTCAGAATTCAATCTCTTCACGAGCTTCTTTTGCCTATCATTTAGGGGAAGGAAGAAATTCAGCAGCCCAGACTAAAGAAAATGCAGTGCAACATGGGTAATCTCTTTAACAGGCAGCCAAGTTGGTGACCAAAAGGAGGAGTCAGAGCGGAAAGAAGCAGGGTCGCACAGCCTGACCCCGAAGCTCAAACGTAGCTGAGACCTAGCTGGAGAAGCACACCGGTTCCAGGAAGAAAACAAAGGAAGGGAGGCCTCTCCCCACCCATTCACACGGGCGGTTCCAGACGAGTTTGCTGGAACTGCTGCCAACACAGGGCTTGAGCGAGCTGAGCAACCCCATGAGCTCCCAGGGAGCAAGAAATCTGGAGGAATATGCGATGGGCGCAAGATAACATCTTCCTCCTAGAAATTCTGTTTTGCAACACACCCCGAGTGGGATTTTGGCGCTTCTGAGGAAACTCCTTTAGTGACCCCAAAATGAGCAAATCCAGCGACAACACCAAACCATGAAGCCTGAAGAGGAAGAAATGCTTCTTAGTTGGTCACATGTCTTAAGAGCTCAGAGCGATCATCTTGAAGTTTTGAAACTTCCCAAGAAAGAATTTCCTTATTTTACAGAAAATCTGAGTACAGAAAGATGAGCAACGGGAGCGTGGACCAAGAGCTTCTTGCGGGTATGTTGTTTTCTTTGAACTTTGATTAGTATGTTGTATATTGCTGTAAAATAAAAGAAACCCTTTCCCGGAATTGTCCCAAGAGACAGATGGCATTACTAGAGCCTGAGGGATCAGGAAAATAATATGTTGTCTTTAAAGTAACTTACAGAAATTTCACCATACGCAGTGGAACTACATGGAGGTGGTACAGCATTTATTTTCTTTTTTTTTTTAATATTTTATTTATTATTTTTAGAGAGGGAAGGGAGGGAGGAGAGAGAGAGAGAAACACCAATGTGCTCTTGCTGGGGGCCGTGGCCTGCAGGCAACCCAGGAATGTGCCCTGACTGGGAATTGAACCTGCAGTGCTTTGGTTCGCAGCCCGTGCTCAATCCACTGAGCTACGCCAGCCAGGGCCAACATTTATTTTCATATCAGCCAGCAAGGCTTGTTTCCAGTGACTAAAGTAGCTTTTATGAATTTCGGATCTGAAGAGATACGTGTGCTCCCACATTCATTGCAGCGTTATCTATAATAGCCATGATTATAGAAACAATCTAAGTGTCCAACAGTGGATGAATGAATAAAGAAAATGTGCTATATTTCTACAATGGAATATTATTCAGCCATAAAAAACCCCATAGAAGTCGTGCCATTTGCAATAACATGGGTGCACTTCCAGAGTGGGGGGACAAATATACTGCATAATCTTGCTTCTATGTGGAATCTGACAAAAAAAATTCATAGAAACAGAGATCAGACCTGTGCTTGCCAGAGGTGGTGGGCGGCGGGGCCGGGGGGCGGGGGTGAGGATGAGGGAATGGCTTGAAGATGGTAAAAAGGTACAAACTTCCAGTTACAAGTTAAGTCGGGGACGCAACGTGCAACAGGGTGACTCTAGTTCACAGTACTGTTTTCTGTATTTGAGAATTGCTAAGAGAGTAGATCTTACAATTCCCATCAGAAGGAAAACAATTTTGTAACTGTGAGGTGATGGGAGTTAACTGAACTTATCGTGATGATCTTTTCCAACCACATATATACATCAAATCATTGTGTTTTGCACCTTGAGCTTCTACAATGGTAGATTGATGCGAACCCCGGCTCGTGCGGTCCGCCACATGGTGGATGAGGCACGAGAAAGTCACACGGACCACCGAGTCCTGTGAAGGAAAAGGGACGGCGCAGCTTCTCTCTCAAGGGGAGAGCAAGCCTCGGCCCTTGGCTTGACAAGCTTTTATTGCTTTTCTGGGCACATTACATGATGGTCCTCATGTACTATGCACAGGTTCGCTTTTGGTGGTTGCCTTTTACAGAAAACCGCTAATCACATCACAGAAGACGGATTTTTGCAAATGCAAAGGGTAAAGTACTTGAACTGGTTACACTCCTCCTTGGAAGGTTTAGCATGGATTTGAGGAAGTTACAGTAAGCACTTGCTGTCTCAATGCAGGGTGAGGGAGTTTTAGTAAAAGCAAGTCTCAAAGCGGCCTAGGTACATTGCAGGCCTGATTCCCCACGGGAGAACCTATCCGTGGGCGTGGGTCCTGTCTGGGACCACACCACAACAGAACAGTCTCCTATAGTAGGAGAAAAGAACTTGGGATAGCCCGTGCATCCTCAGTTAGGTGCTGCCATTGTAACCGGAAAAGACACCGGCGTTCGGGCTGCCTGTCACTACCAAATCCAATAAGCAGTGACAGTGATTGAATCTTTCATAGGCGCTTTATTCAGATGGCCGGCGATCCGAGAAGATGGCGGGTTCATACCCTAACAAACCATCTTGCTCTCTCTTTCCCAGCCAGATCTTTTATAAGGGGGTGGGGGAGGGCAAACAAGGTGTCAGCGAAAGCCTTTGAAATTCAACAGTTGCCTCCAAGGGGGAAGGCTAGTCGCTTGCTTCTTCCTGGTACAGACGTCTCCAAGAGGTCATCTGCTTACTCTTAGGCGCCAAGATAGGCCTTATCTGTAGTTACTGAAACAAAAACTTAACATACACATGACTTGCTAGATTTATGACTATTTACCTTAAGTTAAATTTTCCCAAGTCTTAAGCCCCTATCACCAGCACAACGGCATGGTATATGCTGTGCAAACTAACACAGTGCTTTTGAAACATTCACTCTCAATCTAATAAGCTCTCTAAGATGACATATGGCAGTTTAGAGTTAATTTTCACTGTGAGCACTACAGGGATCTGTCATTGGATTCATCATGCCTCAGAAATTCCGAAAGGAAGCAGTTGGAAGGAAAGGGAGGAATTCTAGATAGTGCTCTGGGCCCACGGGACCCTGAGACCACACAGCGGACTTAGGGATCAGGCATGAAAGTGTGTGCCTGGGCCGTTTGTGCTGAGGTTGCAAGAGCCCGGGATTGGAGGTCAAGCAGTCTGCACTTGAATCTCAATCCTACGTGCCATTTGCTGACTACGTGCCATCACGCTACCTCTCTGGCCCTCCTTTTGTAACGGGAAAAGACACCGGCGTTCGGGCTGCCTGTCACTACCAAATCCAATAAGCAATGACAGCAATTGAATCTTTCATGGGCGCTTTATTCAGATGGCCGGCGATCCGAGAAGATGGCGGGTTCATACCCTAACACACCATCTTGTCTTTTCTTTCCTGGCCAGATCTTTTATAAGGGGGCGGGGGAGGACAAGCAAGGGGCGGTGAGGGCTTTGAAATTCAGGAAGGATTGGGTGAGCGAAGCTGCAGCATTCCTGTTCTCTGCAGCTAGCTGTTCCCAAGGTGGGGGTGTCACACAAAAGGCCCGGATGCCTCCAACATGTCGCCAGGTCATCTCTAGCCATTGCCCCAGGAGGTCGGCTGCTTTTCTCGGGAGCCAGGACCGGCCTTATCTGTAGTTTCTGAAACAAAAGCTTAACATACACATTACTTGCTAGACTTACAGCTTTTTACCTTCAGCTAAAATGTTCCAAGTCTTGAGTCCTCTATCACCTCCTTGTTTTGTAGAACCTCACGGAGCTTACCGTGACAGCACTGTAAACTGTGAAGTGCTCAGCAATTTTGACATATCTTTTCTGGGCATCAAGTTCCACAGACCCCCTCCAACTAGAGCATGCACTGGGGATCACCCCTTCTGTCACTTCTGCCATCCCCAGCCACATTTTCAAAAAATAGCACTGTCAAAACCCTTCCAAAAGTAGAGATGGAAGCGTCCACTCCTCCCAATTTCACAGAGAAAACATCATGTATTAAAAATAATAATAACAAGCCCTGGCTGGTGTGGCTCCGTGGATTGAGCGTCAGCCTGCAAACCAGAAAGGTCACCAGTTCAATTCCCAGTCAGGGCACATGTCTGGGTTGCGGGCTAGGTCCTCAGTGGAGGGCACATGAGAGGCAACCACACATGGATGTTTCTCTCCCTCTCTTTCTCCCTCCCTTCCCCTCTGTCTACAAATAAATAAATAACATCTTTTAAAAGAGATAGGCTATGCCAGTTATTCATAGAACATGGTCCCTGAACCAGTAACTCAACATCACCTGGGAAACTGGGCAAAATTCCAGTTCTTGTCTCCTCCTCAGACCAAATGAATCTAAAACTCTGGGAGTCGGGCTCAGCAACGTGTGTTTTAAAAAGCCTTGGGCAAATGGGGAGTCAGGAGAATGGGGACAGCTGTAACAGAGTCAACAATAAAAATAATGTAGCCTGGCTGGTGTAGCTCAGTGGATTGAGCGCGGGCTGTGAACCAAAGGATCACTGGTTCGATTCCTGGTCAGGGCACATGCCTGGGTTGCAGGCCAGGTCCTGAATGGGGGATGTGTGAGAGGCAAGCACACACTGATGTTTCTCTTCCTCTCTTTCCCCTTCCCTTCTCCTCTCTCTAAAAATAAATAAATAAATAAATAAATAAAATCTTCACATAAAATAAAGTAAAAAAAAAGCCTTCCAGGTGATTCTGGTTGAAGCTGAAATTTGAGAACAACTGGGCAAAGGTCTTTTCCTCCCTGGCTGCATAACTTAAGCATTTATTTAAAACCCAGATACTTGAGAGAGGCCCAGGAAATACCTGTTTTTAACCCCTAGATGATTCCATTGCTCAGGCGGGATTGAGAACGACAAATACATTTGCTCCTCATGGACAAGCTACTCAGGGCTTTGCTGTGCTTTGGTCATGGGCCCTTTTGTCTGGATTACAGGGTATAATTTGGGGATTAGAAGGCATTTCCTGGCTCCAGGGCTCTCTCTGTGATGGAATCAATGCCTAGGCCCAGTATGAAGTCCATGTTTCTTGGTAAGAAAGCTAGTGTCTCTCCCTATTATGCTCTTCTGTCTCTCCTCCCTTCGAGGTCTTGAAGAAACAATTACCTGCTTACTGTATACAGGCCTGGAAACAGAGGCTGTGCAGAAAGAAGGAATGGGGGTGGTGGCTGCTGAAATACAGTCAGTGGTCCCTGATGGTTCCCTTTTTCAAACCGGATATCTCTAGTTCCCTCAATTCTTTCATTACCTCCCAGTTATTCTCAGATCCACTGGATACACAAGTCTATCAACTTGCACCAGGCACTTTTACTTTCGTTTCTTTTTTAAAAATATTTTTTTGCCTGCGAACCAAAGCGTCGCAGGTTCGATTCCCAGTCAGGGCACATGCCTGGGTTGCAGGCCATGACCCCCAGCAACCGCACATTGATGTTTCTCTCTCTCTCTCTTTTTCCCTCCCTTCCCTCTCTAAAAATAAATTTAAAAAATATTTTTTGTTGCCCTGGCTGGCGTAGCTCAGTGGATTGAGCGCAGGCTGGGAACCAAAGTGTCCCAGGTTCAATTCCCAGCCAGGGTACATTCCTGGGTTGCAGGCCAGAACCCCCAGCAAACACACATTGATGTCTCTCTCTCTCTCCCTCTCTCTCTCTCTCTATCTCCCTCCCTTCCCTCTCTAAAAATAAACAAATAAAATCTTTTTAAAATATATTTTTTGCTTTTCTTCTTCTCTTTCTTCTCCCTCCTCCTCCTCCTCCTTCTTCTTCTCCCTCCTCCTCCTCCTCCTTCTTCTTCTTCCT